ACTAAATTTTTAAAACATTAGTGTAAATTATTATTATTATTATTATTATTATTATTATTATTATTATTATTATTATTCAGTTGTTTGTTTCATATGTAAGTTAAAATTATTTATATTTATTTTTAAAAAAAACTATTTTGTGTTTATTTAGTACTTTTTAAAAAAAAATCATTAATTGAATTATCTTTATAATTAACATAAAATATTTTAATAAAATTAAATTATCATTAGTTTAGTCAATGTTTTTATAAAAATATGCATACATAATGATTAAACTTTTAAATTAATTTAATATAAATATATATTTTAGTTAGTAATTAATTATTTTATTTATTTGGTTTATAATTTATTACATTAGTAGCTATTATATACAATAGATTATTAAATATTATTAGTAAATTTCATTATCATAATCTATATATTATTATTATTATTTGATTGATAATAACTATTAAAATTCAATATACATATATCTAAGCAATAATTAATATACATTTAATTTGAAACTTAAAAAAGGAAATTGACATAAAAATCTAATTTAATATTCAGTATCCTATACATTGAATAATATTATTGTATTATATTTTTTTATTATTATTATATTTATAAAAAAATATAATACATTTACATCTCTGAAAACAACATATATAACAATATATATATATAATTTAAATTTAATTATTTATTACTTACAACACATATGTCTAGACTTTAAAATTTAAATCTTATTGTTGTCTATATATATATATATATATATATATATATATCTATAGACAACATTATTTAGGGTGTAATCGATATGTTAAACAAATAATCGATTTTTTAAGGATATATATATTTTTTTTGTGTATAAATCATTATTACGTTTAGAGTTATCTTATGGTAAATTACGACTACTATTAAATACAACAGACAATAGCTTTATTATAACCAAAATTTATTTTTTTTAAAAATTTATTAACCAAAAAAATAAATAATAAGTTTAAATAATACTTAAATAATAAATAATTATATGAAAACTTTTTAACTTTTTAAAAAATTGTTTTATGAAAAATCATTTCTCATTATAAAAGCCTATTAACTACTATTATATGTATACAACAACAACAACAACAAAACAGTACAGAAAATATAGTTAATATGTATTTATATTATATAATGTAACGAAAAATTCATTTTATTTCAAATGTTATCTATGATATAACATTTAATGTATATATACTAGTATATGTATATGTTATATATAAATATCAAATATATACAGTATTTACGTCATAAACTTTTTATATATACACAATATATTATATATACATATATAAAAAATTTATATATATATTATATAAAATACTTATATAATATGTGTTTGTCTGTAGTCTATATACACTATTTTTTCATATAAATAGTTGTCTATAATGTCTATAAAATTGGGTTTTTTTGTTGTTGTTGTTGAAGACCTGTCCGATCAATGTCTGTATATATATATATACTTATAGTTTAGTATGTATTTAGTATTGAAGATATATTGTATTCACGAGATTGAAAAAAATAAGTTTGAATGCAATTATAGATATGAAAATCAAATCAAACCAACAAAAAAACCCTATTATTATTTTGTTGGTTTTATACCTTTTTTTTTGTTGTTGATATGTATGACAGCACTTTTCACACCATTGCTATAATCAAAAAAAAAAAAAAATCAAACATCACATACCCATACACCCATACACTCAGGTATCTATTTATCTACCTGTGCTCAGACACAAAATGCAACTCTTTTTTCATATATATATTTAGTAGTATTTTCTCTGACTGTCTGTAAAAATCATAATAATTTTTTTTATATATATAAAAAGATACTTGAACTTCAAACAATTTATTTTTACTTTTATTTAATATCAATAGACATTGAGATTTAAACATTGTTTTTTTTATAATACAATATAATATATATATACTGTATATAAGTATATAATTGTGTGATTTTAGAGAAATCCTTGAATTTTTTTTTGCTATTCATTTATATTATTATTATTATTAGTTTTTCTCGAGACCAATATATTTGCCATTATTTTATTTTTTTTACTTTTATTATCAAATTTTTTTTGTGTTATGTCTGCTGAGCTTAAAAATCAATTTTGTAAATACAAAAAATACAACTATAAAAAAAGTAGACACAAAAACATAGACTTAGACGATATATATATATATATATATATATATATTAAATACAGTATTTTTATTAAAAATTTAGTAGACTTTGAATTTCTAGTCAACAAAAATATTACTTTAATTTTAAATATTTAGTTTTTTTTCTCTCTTTTTTTGAAATTAAAGGAAAATCCGTTACTTAAAAACAGATTCAAATATAACTTATATATTACTTATTTATATATATAAAAAAACACAAATTATCATTAATTAGTTGTACACTCAGTTTGTCTTATTTTTGTTTTTTTTTGTTGAAAACTACGAAAGTTTTTTTTTAAATAATAAAAACATAAACCTATTAAATGTCTTAAATTTTTTTGTTAGTAAGTTTGTCTGGAAATTTTGATATATATATATTAATAATATAAAATTTTTGTTATAAAAAATTTTAATGACATTATAAATCATATTTTTGTGTTTTTAATAAATTAAATATATATTATATACTCTGTATATATATAATACTTGACATAAGTCTATATGAAATTTTATGTTCAAATTTTAAAAAATATAATATTAATAATCGATTAAACCGATTAAAATATTTATTTATTTTTTCTATACTAATACAATAATTTGTTTAAATATATTATTTTTATACACAATTGAATTTTATTATTTTTAAAAATAACTATTTAATAATAATATTACTAAATAAATATTATTTTAATACTATTAATTAGTTAATAATTATCTATATTTATAATAAAAAACTACTAATTAATGATATTATTATAATAAAAATACAATAAAAAAATAAACAGTGAAAATAAATTATTAAACATATACTTACAATATGAAATTTTTTTGTTAATCACAAAGTTTATTATAAAATTTTAATAATAATAATAATTACCGTAAATTAAATAACATTAGCGTTTAAAACATTGCCATGTAAAATGTCAAGTTCCCGTATAAATTTTCAACGTATTTTTTAAAATAAAAATATATACATATATTATTTGGGTAATTATTAATTATAATCAATAAAAAATTAAATTTAAACAATTAGCAATAAATGTTTGCCATATATGTTAAGTAATATATTTTTATTTATTTTTTTAAAATCTTATTTTTAATCACGTTTTTGTTGTCATATTATATATATTGTGAGTTTTATATTAGTAGTTATTAATAATTTATTAAATGAATTGACACATGAAATCAATTAATAGTATACTAATTTTTACATAATATTATTCAATAGAAATATCTATTTATAGTTTATTATACTAATTATTTTGTTTTGCTGTCCAAAAATCATTGAATAATATAATATGATACTTACTATTGATTTCATAGGCTATAGTGGAATCATAACATATTATTAATTAATTATTATTAAAAATAATAATACAAATTTTTTTTAAATACTTATTTTACATTTTAATAATAATTGAATATATTGTGTTTGCTCATCACATTGTTGTTTGTAATAGAAATTTGTTTTATCATATTTTTTTGTAACAGACATATATATTAATATATATATATATATAATTGAATAACAATCATAAATAGTAATAACAAGCAATTAATTGACTGATAAAGTAATAGGCGTTACCAATTGATTACAACAATTAACACTTAATTCCTAATCAATGAGAGAGAGAGAGAGAGAGAGAGAGAGAGAGAAGGCCTTCAATGAGAGATTTAAAAAAAATAAAATAAATTTTATTGATTCAAAAAAAAATCTATTGTTTTAAATAACAAATAAATAATTACAAAGGATATGATTTATTCAATGATACTATTGATATGTCCTATTAAGTGAACTATTGTCAGCTATAGTCAGCTCCCGTGACACTTGAAAGTTAGTTATTGTTTCAAACAAACAAAAAATTATATAAATTTTTTTTCATTATTAGTATTAGATTTTTTATTTTATTTATTCAAGTACTTATAAATAGAGATATAGTTTATTGTAGTTTTTTTTGTTATTAGTTTGTAGTTATTATATTATTAAATGATAATCATATCTTAAACAAATTTAGTCGTAAGTCACAGTCAACTATTCAATATATATATATGAAAGTCAATTACACCCCAGTATAGGGAGGTCTCAACTATGTAACCGTTTTTTTTAAATAAAATATTTAATAGTAAAATAGATAATAATAGTAATAATGATATTAATTATCTAAAAACTATTAAAATAAAAATCTGTATATAAATAGTAGATATTTTTTTACTACATTTTACAGTATTATTTTTAATAATATAATAACATTTATTATTAAAAAAAATTTTACTCATATAAAAAATTATTACTATTATTATAATTATAATTATTTTATATTTGAGACATACGTTTATTACTATACTAATACTGTTTGTATAAAAAAATTTTTTTTAATTAAATTGTGTGTTTGGAAATATTTCACAACTTTTACATATTATAAATATTAGCAAATAAATAAATGCCTGTCCTTTATAATAAGTTTGTTGGTTAATAAAACTTATATATATATTTATTTGCCGGTTATATTGTTGTTAATATTATTATTATCGTTGTTGGCATGTCGTCCATATCACCAAACAAATTGATATTAATATTATTTTTGTTTTTTTGTTTAATTATTATTATTATTAGTTTAGTTTATTTCTACTAATACTAATAATAATAATTGAGTTTTACTTTTGTTTTCATATATATATATATATTAAATATATAAGTTTATGGTAAAAATTTGTTACCTGGTGAAACAACTTATAATAATAAATTTATAAATGATTTATAATGAATAATAATGAATAATAATTTCAATTTTTTTTTGTTTCTCTTATAATAGGTTTTAAAAAAATAAAACGTTGTTTGAGTCATCACTTAAAATCTAACCATCCCCTTCACCTACAGTCCCCCCTATAAATTGATACACGATTCTGGGTATATATATATATATATATCATCATGGGTAATAGAATCGTATTGGAAAGTACTATACTGTACTATTATAGTACCAGTGCCAGGAGCTACAAGTGCTGGGAGGTGGGTGGCGGCATCATAAATACACATACAGTACATACATACGCTCATACAAGCCGTAAAAGTTGTTAAAAAAAGATTTCATTGGAAATTGCCAACTAATTTCTACCTGTTTTTTAAAATATGATTGCAATTTTGCACCTGTAGTTTGGTTGGTAAAAAAAGTACCCAGTTATTATAGCGTAAGTTATTAAGCATGACTTCAATTATTATGATTATGATTATTATTGGTAATATATATACATATACTAGTATTTTATTGAATTTTCATATTTATGCATATAGTGTATGATTTTTATGTTTTTAAAAAAACCAAAAAAAAATCTATTATCTATTAATTGTGTGACCACTCAGTTATGTTTACTAGGTGTGTGTTTGTGTGCGCGCTTATGTATGTGTGTTTTTAATTGGGTGGGAAAGTGATCACAAATTTTATTTTTTGGCACAAAAATAACAACAATTTGAGTAGCGTTTGATTGGGTACCACTCTGGGTTCACCAGTCGCGCGGGGGGACTCTGGATCGGTGGCACTGATTAAATTGATAACAAAAAACAAACCAAAAACTCAGTGTCCACTAGAGACAGATACCCTCACCTGATATTTGATACACTTGTGAACACAGCTGGTGGTATCTCAGTTAAATCTATCTCATCCAGTCACCATCACCGTTACCACCATCACCATCATCATCAACAACATGAATGCCCAGTGCCATACATACGCGCACACATATACACACTTAACTAGTTTTTATTTTATGTGTGTATTTGCAGCTATTTATTACATTAAACTCTCTCTTTCTCTCTCTCTCTCTCTCTCTCTCTCTCTCTCTCTCTCTCTCTCTCTCTCTCTCTCTCTAAAACAAACAATCTATTTATACACCTTTCCTTTTTTTTACTTCCCTTCCCTTTCCGTTTATTTTACTTATTTTTTATTTGATTAAAATCTTTTATCGGATAATTGAATTTATACAGTATATATATTTAGCATATGTATGTTAAATTTAATATGTGGATAATAATAGTAATAATAATATGGATCCAAGATATCAAAATTGATATCGTCTATGGTTAGTTGTATGTATGTATGTATGTATGTATGTGTGTGTGTGTGTGTGTGTGTGTGTGTGTGTGTGTGTGTGTGTGTGTGTGTGTGTGTGTGTGTGTGTGTGTGTGTGTGTGTGTGTGTGTGTGTGTGTGTGTGTGTGTGTGTGTGTGTCTACAGTAGTCTGACTATGGCGTAAGCACCTGTGTCTATGGCAACAATCCTGATGTTCGTCATCATCAGTTAACTACAATATACCAAATAGGCAACAGATAACTGTGCTGTCTCTCTCTCTCCCTTTCCCTGGTTTACTAAACTATTGCATCCAATGCTTAAAGACATACAATACTTAATATTTTATTATATTACTATACTGTACGATGTGTTAATATATATATATGCATTTAAATGTCAACACATTTTGAGTCCCTGTCCTACTTATTTCCTAACTCTCTCTCTCTCTCTCTCTCTCTCTCTCTCTCTCTCTCTCTCTCTCTCTCTCTAATTAACTCTCAATATTTATATATATATATATATATATATATTTATATATGTGTATATAATAGATAGATAATTTCCAAGTAAATCAATTATATTCAACAATAATTATTATTTAATAATTTCAATATATTGTTGATTTTACAAAAGTCTATTATAAACACATTTTTTTAAAAACAATTGTCTCATCTCTTGTTCAATTGATTTCCTAATTTGTGTTAAATAAAAATCTCTGAAATATATAACTCTCTCTCTCTCTCTCTCTCTCTCTCTCTCTCTCTCTCTCTCTCTCTCTCTCTCTCTCTCTCTCTCTCTCTCTCTCTCTCTCTCTCTGCTATTATTTAATAATAACTATATTATTATTTTGTCATTGTTTTTATGCAATCACTTATTTTTGCTAACAATTTGTTTCTACAGAAAGTTATTAATTTTATTGTTTTATATATTGTGTGATCTGTTTTATATCGACAGTAATAATGATATTAACTTTTAGCTTTTGACTCGGAAGTTGTTATTAGTATTAGTATTATATGTGAACTGGAAAGTGATTTACAATTATTTTTTTGACCAAATATTTATTTTTCAGTGACTTAACAAATATGTTAACCAAAAAACGTCTGATATAATAATAATAATTATTATTATTATTATTATCAATAGGTATGTTATAAAACACTGTCATTCATATGTTTTATTGTTTTAACTCTATATATATATATATATATATTTTGCTATAATAAACTAATTATGTAAATATTTGGTGTTAATTGTTTGCTTAATATTTATATGATATATAAATTTATGATATTTTAAAAATCTATTTATTATATATATATTTTCTAAAAATGTTTTGTTAAAACTAAGTTCAATGTGCTTCTCATTATAATAATTGCTTTAAATAACTATATATACAATAAGTTTTTTTTTTAAAAATTTATTTAATATATTTTATTGTTTTTTTTTCGGTCATAATTTCCGATAACATAAAAAACTATTTGTCATATTATAAAAAAATATTTATATATGAGTTATTGTTGCGATCTATTACTATACCAATAGTATTACATTACATATATTGGTAATTATTTTTGTTGTTGTTTTTGTTTTTTTTGTCGTAATTGAAATACATGTATAAAAAGTTTTTAATTTCCAAACTCCAAGTGTGCGCCCATTTCTCTCTCTCTCTCTCTCTCAATACACCCATTCCTCCCCATTGCTAGCATACCAGCCAACACTTATGTTATGTTTTTATTTTTTTATAAAAATATATATACAAAAAATATGTGTTATATATATGCGAAATGTAATCATATATGCCGTTGTCGTGTATTTTTTTTATAAAAAAACCTAAAATTAATTAATGTTTTTTATTATTATTATATAATATTTGCTTTTAAAAAATCACTGTTTATTTCATTTGTATCGACAGTATACGATTGACTCTGTTATTGACTACAAATCAATTGCTTTATAATTCAATGTTTTTTTTGTTTGGTTATATATATATATGTGTAGTTATAATAATTTTATTTGTAGTTTATTTTAAAAATACAAAATTAATGTCCAATTTATTTGCTGATGAAAAAAAACTGTATTAAAATTTTTTTCCATATGGTTTTGTTTTATGTTGACGTTTAGCAAAATTATTTTAATTTTTATATTACATTTTTTAAGTTGTTTTATTATTTTATTATTAATACCTTTATATTAAAAATTATTAGGCATTAGAAAATAATAATAGCAAATAATTAATGTAATAATAACAACATTGCGATCTCCGGGGTTTGTATTAAATATAAATATATTTATATTTATTTTTTTTGTTAATACTTTCAAAAAAAAACTTTCAATCGATATATTATTTTTTTAGATATCTTGAGATATAATTTTCTTTAATTAATTAATTATTATTATTATTTTGTTAATATATGTCATATGAAAGTGTATCTTATATATTATTATTTGTTCAATTTCTAAATTATCTATCACTTTCATTATTATTATATATTATATAATATAATTAATGTTTGTCTTATTATATATGATCTCTCAAAATATATATATATAACCGACACATATGCCCGACACTACTACTACTACGACATCCAATAATTATTGTCGCGCGGAATGGGGAGGTATTTACTACATAGAGAAGCGCACTGACCATCCAATGCAAGCAATGATTATCGGCAAATATCTTAATGTATTATTAAACCGAAAGAGAGAGAGAGAGAGAGAGAGATAATCCACATATTTTTGTGGTCCCAAACACTCAATGATACAAAATTGAATTTATCATTTTGTTGTTGTTGTATTATATTTTTATTTTTTTTTTTGACTACCGGTGCCCATCATCATCGATGGGCACAGTTATGTCTATACTAATCGCTGGTAACTTCGTTCCAAAACTGCATTTTACACAACTTTTAACGGTTTTTAAATACATAAGCTGTAAATGCATTTATTTGGAGCGCAATATATCAGCGATGATCGCAACGATTAACTCATATATAAATATATATAAATATATATTAATTTTATTTATTTAATTTTTTGTTTGTTTAAAAAAACTAATTATTTTTTAATTCAATTAATTTTGTTATAATAATAATAATAATAAAAATACTAAATAAATAATTTATATTTGTATAAAATATTACAGAAATATTGTCTATAAATTATAAATCATATCAATAATTTAATAATAAATAATTTATATATTTAATATATAGTGTAAAGTATTTATACAGTATCGTATATATATACTAAATATTAAATTGCAATTTGATTTATTAGGTTTATTTTGTTGTTGTTGGCTAATATGATACACAAATTTTCACTATTGAAAAAACATTATGTTATATATATATATATATTTCGGATAATTGTGTTTTTGTTGTTATAAATATATATATTTGATATGATATATTAAATATACAAATAAATCAATTCATGGGACTAACACTTGATACATTAGTTTTTTTAAAAAATAAATATTATTATTGAATTATTTCATTCATATAAAAATAAAATATATATATATCAAAAAATTTATTTATCAACTTAACATTTGACGTTAACAATAATAAATAAATAAAAATAAAATAAATGATATCAAGTATTGTTTTTCAAAAATATTGTTTTTTGAAATATATATATATAAAACATTATTTATATTCTGTAGTATATTGTATTTAATTAAAAAATAATTTAATACAATATTGCGTATTACATTATTAGTGTATTTTTATTGATATTTATTTTAATTGATTTTTTTCAGTATACATATATCAATTGATTCAATAAATTATATATATATTTATAAATAAAAATCTATATAATTTTTCATTTTAAATTAAAATTCTAAACAATTATATTTTAAATAATATGATATTACAGGTAAAAAAATTAATAAAATATATATCATATTAATTATTTGTAAATACTAATTAAAATTAATTAAATTGTATGTTTGTTTGTTTGTTTTTCTGAGCTAATTTATTTTCTAACTAATTTTCATATATATAATTTTATTTCAATTTTTGTTTGTTTTAATTATACATCACATACACACACACACACACACACAATACAATAATCAATATTGAAGACAACATTTAATATTTATTTATTAATTTTTTTTGGGATAAAAATTAAATATCATATAACAAATAATTTATTATTATTAATAATAATAATAATTATGACACTGGTGTTTGGCAGTGTGGTTAGCTTGGTTGTTTTTTACAAATATGTGATGCAAAACAACCACTATCTGCACAGCCCAGATACCGGTGCCTACTATGTCATCGTCTATAATAATAATAATAATTAATTGTTATCATTATTGTCATTATCATTTTTATTATTATTATGATTAGTAAATATATATATAATTGCTTTTATAATATTAGTTGCTAATGCAATTATTTATATGTACTTATACTATTGATTATACATTTTTTTACATTTTTAATATATATAATTATTATAATATTATATTATAATAATTAAATTTATTTTATCAATTTAATTAAATTTATAATAAAAATAATAATACTTTTATTTATTTATAATTAATTAATTGATTTTTTATTAATTTTTAGTGACACTTGGATATGTGACCCATGATTTGACTGAAATGATGATATGTTATGAAGATTAGCGACAATTTCCAACAATTAATAAATATTATCATTAGTTTAATTACTTTTTAAAAACTATCATTAATGAGATATCATATAAATGATTTATCATTTTGTTTTAAATAGTATTTTTTGTATGTATTTATTTATTTCTATAGTAAATGCTATCTTGTATTTTACTTACTATCAAATTGTGATAAGTTAACTGTGATAATAATAATAATAGGGGAAAAATTGTAATAAACATTTTTTAATGTAATTTATAAAATGTGTGATAATTTGTAAATTTTCTAAAATAAAATTAATGTCTCAAATATATATATAAGATATTATTTAATTGCATATAAAATATGTAATACCGTAAAATTGTTCATACAATTGATAAAAATAATAAATTATAAATTATTTAAATTTGTATTCATTTTTTAAAAATCATATCAATGTGTTTGTTATGTTATGAATTGTAAATCAATATAAATAATAATTTTATTTACTTAAAGATCTCCTTAACTGATCAGATAATTTAAAAAATCATTTGTCTAATCGATGGTTAATCAGATATTACCTGTATTTTTAAGATTTTTGATGACATTGATGGTGGCCATCAAACATCACTTTATTTTATAATTAAATGGTTTTTATCTCTTATCGTAACTTTTATCACCATTGGATCAGATATCAGACAACAACTTATATATACAGTATTATTGTTAACAATACAAACAATTGATAAATAAAAACTATTAATTTGTAAATTTCTAAAAATTTACAGTAATTTTATTATCAATTTCAAGTATTTAATAATTAAGATAATTTTTTTTTGTTTAACATTTAAGCTATCAATTTTTTTTGAATAGTCAATAGTTTTATAGACATTACTAATTGATGAGTCAGTCAATGTTTAGTTTTTTTTTAATAAAAAACATTAAATAAAAAGTTTATAACTTTGAAAATTTATGCTAATATTTAGTATTTAAAACTATTATTATTGACTTATATTAGTATATATATACATGTATATATATATATTAAAATAAACATCATAAATAAAATGTTTAACAAATTTTTTTAGATATTAAGATAAATAAAATTTATAATCTAAATAATTATTAAAAATTTAAAAGTCATTTTTAATTTATTTTATTATTAATCATCATTAAATAATACAATATTTTTTTTATAAACAAAGATATTAATAGTCAATTAGATTTTAACATAATAGTTAACTTTTAATTAACAAAAAACAAACAAACTTTATAATATGGTTTTTTTTCAAAATATATATAACTTTGATTTGAGTAATTAAATAAACAAAATTTAAAAGTATTTTCTTTTTTAAAAAATAAAACTAATATCTATTAACAAGAAATCATTATTTTTTTAAAAATGTTTATTACAATATTTTTGAAAATATATTTTTAAATAATAATGTTATTACTGTTGTTATAGAGAATTATATATTTATATTTAAACACATAGTTATCAATGAAAGACAATGAAAATAATGTATTTGTTATAATCAACAAAAATAATTATCAAATTAAAAATAAAAACATATTTTTTGTTTTGTTTATATATGTGTATATATCAATCAATCAATGAATATACATTATATAAATTATACATTATATTTAAATTTTAATTAGTTTTTTTTAAACATAAGTTATTCAAAAAGTAAAACAATTAACTTTTTTTTAAATCAATTGAATGTCATTCACAAAATCATTGTATTTTTAAATATATAAAACAAAAATATATAAATCGATGGTTCGGACCCCCAAATAAAAGGCATTCAAAATATATATAAATATTTTGTTTGTTTGGATAATTATAAATATATATAACAAAGTTTGCGCTCATGTAAAGTAAAGCACCCGTCAATTAATCGTGTAGTAGTGGTGGTGGTGGTGGTGGTGGTGGTGGTGGTGGAGTTGGTGTGGAGGGGACAGTTAGTTAGTTATCCAAAAATAAATAAATAACTGTACTGTCAACATAAAACAAATTGCTATATTATTATTAACTACCAATAATACCCTAATTAGTTAGCTAATAAATTTATAATAAGGAATTTAAACTATTTATTATTTTTTGTAGTATTGTTTATAGATCTAAAAACATAGGGTTTTATGTATGTATGTGTGTGTGTGTGTGTGTGTGTATGTGTGAGACCACTATAAATAGAGTAAGCCATAAAAACCTACTCCCTGTCCTATCCACTCCCACCCTCACCCACCCACCCCTACACACATACAAACTGTACAAAAATCACATCCATAAGCGCTTTACTTTTACAGTACTTTCAAATTTAACAATTAATTTTGTGTCCCTCTCTTTCTTTCTCTCTCTCTCTCTCTCTCACTCTCTCATGTTTTAAAATACAACATCAATTTGTGCCTAAAAATAACATATACCAGTATAATAATAATAATAGTAATAATAGTAATAATAGTAATAAGTAATTTAATCCAAAAATGTTTTTATCGTCTAATTTGTTTTTTTTTTAGAAAACGTCAAAAATATTTATATTTAACTCCCAATTTGCAGATGAAAGTCAATGTCATAACCTAATTACTGGTCCTATTTTTTGTTTGTTTATTAGTTAACTATTTATATATATATATATATATATATACAGTAATAGTTATAAACAGCAACAATCATATCATTTCATAAATCTATAATTTTTAAATGCACTTCATTTTCAATTAATTACTCAATCAATAACACTTTTTTTAACCTCACTAAACATTTTTTTTCAATTAACCACCAATTTTTCATTTGCTGATTGGGAATCAATCATAAAATATCAATCATATTTGTTAAACAAAAAATTATATATATATAGTATTTACCAATATATTGATTGAAAAACAAAATTTACACCAATATTGGTAATTGTCAAAGAATTTACATTAATAATAATAATAATTTTTTAAAGTGTTTTTTAAAAAATTAAATAACTCTACTCAACAATTTTTTTAGATTTGTATAATAGATATAGTAATATATATATATGATAAATTGATTTATATATAATATATTTAGTTAGTTAATTGTAAATTAAATTGTAGATAATTATTAAGTCAGATAAAAAAAAATGCAAGTTTTTTTTGTGGAGATAATAATAATAATCTACAATTAAATTTTTAAAAGCCATTATCACATAAAAAACAATTTGTTTGAATATATGATAATAAGCTCATCCAAAAAATTTAAATTATGTTTTATATTAGTACAGAATATATTGTTGTAATATAATAGCAGATATTAATAAATATCTATAGAATATATAAAAAATTATAATTATGTAATATTAACAATAATAACAATATTTATAGTAATAATAATAATAATAATTAGATTATTGATAGAAATATAATTGTAATTATTATCAATAAAATTATTCATTAAAATTTAAAAAATTTTTTCTCTCAAGATTTTCGTAATACTGTAGTATTGATATCATAGTAATGTAAGAATTATTATTATTAATAATAAAATGTTAAATATAGCAAAAAAAAAAATGGATAAATGCTTAAAGATTTTTTCAAACACAATAAAGCTAATGATTGAACCAATTAGTTAATTGATAGGACTGGTAGATCATGTGTGTGAAACAGTCGGTGGTGTCGACCCATAAGTGTTTGTCTTCAGTCGAGGAGTCGGATAACACAGATAACCAGATCTCCCAAACCGTTCAACAGTTTCTTGGAAGTGGACTTTTTCTTTGCAATAATACCCGCATTACCACCATTACTACTACTACTACTACTTCCAGTAGTTCCAGTATTTAGTGGACAGTTGGCCATTGCTGATGGTGATGATGGACTCGTCAACTCATCCAAACGTTTCAGGTGTTGTTTCTGTTCGACAAATACGCGCCGAACGTCCAGTTTTCTGCCGGTCAGATGGCTGGGCATCGGTACTCGTGTATCGCCGGTCATACGGGCCAACAGTGCCTGTCTTTCCTGATCGGATAGCAGATCACTGGAGTGCGGACCGCGCATAAACTCGTCGACAGTCATCGTCAGATAGCGGGTACAGTATAGAGCTTTGCCCAGAAGTGTCCGCTTGTTGTCGGCGGTCATCTCTTTGCACTGACGGGTACACTGTTGACAGGACCAGCGTTTGATACAATCAAATACAGTCGTTTCGGAAACAATATTCAGCGAATCGCGGCTCAAGATCTTGACAATCAGGTCGTGCTCGAGATTGATGAACCCGTCCGATGACAGTATCTTTACGGCCTCACTGTCCAGCGTATAGTAGCATCGGGTGATCAGTTCGTTGAGAATGTTGTCGCAATTGCTGGAAAACTGTAGCGATGCCTGTCTTGAGATGATCGGCGATGACGAGACACTATTGCTGTTGATGTCCGCGGCTGCGGCTGTTGTTGTTGTCGGCGGTGTTGTTGTCAAATATGATGGCCGCAGATATGAAAATTGTGAAAAATGTGACAGCATTTCCAAAACGGTTTCGTCCGTACAGTTGTCGTAGAGGAATGTCAGACACAGTCGGCACAGGTCGCCCAATAGGAATTGATTGGCAGCTGTAAACAGTGTCAGCGCATTGGACACGGATGTGATGGTGATCTCATTGGTGTAGATGTGTCTTTAAAAAATAAAATAAAATTCAAATTTAAGCAATTATTTTATGATTTTTTTTGTTGTCTCTTAAATATCATAAATAAATAAATCAAATTATTTATTATCAAACAGACCATCAAAAAATTTTTTTATGTAATACTAATTGCATATCAAATATCATATTTTTTTTATAAATATTTATTTTTAAATAATAAGTTTTGATAACATTTTTTTGTGAATAGTGAATGAATTTTTTTTAAAAACTATGATATAATATTACAAATATTTTAAAACTAATTATTTGTTTATAAATATTCTTTTTTTTTATATTCATTGTTTCAAAAGTTTCAAAAATATTATATTTAAATAATTCAAAATATTATTAACTATTTGAAATTACTATAAATTATATATTTATATATATATATATTATGATTATATAATATATTAAAAATAAACAATTGTTGAACAATTCACTAACAATCAGCACTAGGAGTCAAAAAAAAGGAAATCCTATTAAATAAAAAGCAAAAATATCTTATCTAATTAAAACTTATATTCAACACAAATATATTATACAAATAACTAAATTATTATTTTTTAAAATTATAACTTATGGTAGTACAAGGCTATACATGTGATAGTTAACTAATTTATTATTATTATTATTAATAAGATTTAATTAATAATAATGCAACTTTATTTTTTTGTTTGCAAATTATAATAAAATTAATGTATTAAAAATTGCCACCGAAAAAAAAATATTTATTATCCACTAAAATAAAAACTCTAACAATATAATTACATTATATCTAAATTTATAAATTATATATATATATTAAATATGATTTGTTAGTATAAATTATATTTAAATAATAATATAATAATATTATTAATAACAAACAAACAAAAACTACCTTAAGATGACATAAAAGATTTCTGGTTCACAATAATTGATTTGTTTAATGTGTTGTTGTTTGGCATCAGCTGTTCGGTCAGCGCCACCGAAGCCGCCGCCGCCGCCACCGCTATCGACAATGGCTTTGAATACGGGACTGGCGTTTTCAACAATGAACGAATGGGCCGGAAAACGCCAAACCGGTCGACTATCGTTGCTAACCATAAACACAATATCGGAGTGTTCTTCACTGTTGAACAATACTAGTCCAGGACTGGGAGCTGTCGGCTGTGCGGTGACTGCCGTAGTAGTAGTAGTAGTGACTGCGGGACTAAATGAGCTATCATTGGGAGCCATCGTTGTTGTTGTTGTTGTTGCTGCTGTTGCGGCAATGTTTTGTTGGCTGGAATTAGACGATGAAACCGAGGATGAAGTTGTGGCCGGAAGTGATGAAGAGGACGACGACGTCAACTGTGGCGATGGTGTCGATGCCGGTGATGTCACTGATATATATTGGACACGATTTTTCGGACTTGACTTTTGCTTGCGTTTTCGGTTACATGAAATGCACTGTTAATTGAATTAAATTAAATAATAAATATATCGATATATTAATTACAATTGACATTCAAAATATTTAGTGAGATAATAAAATTTAATACTTTGACTAATATTATTATTTAATTTTTTTTTTTGAAATAAAAAGTTTTTAATTTACTGAAATAATCATCATTTTGTATTATATATATATAGATATTTAAATATAAAAAAGTTATTTTATATTTTAAAAAAGTGATCTGATTTCAAACACTAGTAATTAATCCGATTCTTAAAAAATAAATTAGTTTATTGTTACTTAAGTTTAGAGTTTAAATATGATAGTAATATAATAGAGAATAATATAATAATAAAATAATATACAATAACATAATTATAAGTATCAAAAAAATCAATTATTATAAGATATAGCAATAAAAATATTTTACATAAATTAATATATTAAATTAACTAATAATATAATACTTTTTTTTATATATATATGTATTAAATTCAAACGACTTGATTATTATAGATATTTAATTTAATATAATATAATAATAATAATTATTATTTATATGATAATAATAATATTGTTATTATTTAGCTTAAACTTGACCTTCAATTGCTATAACTATAATGTAGAAAAAAAACTATAGTCAGGTATCTGGAAACTTATGGTTAAGAAAAATAGCAATTCAATAGTGAATATAATAATTTTTGTTATTATTAATAATATTATTATTAATCACAAAATTTTTCTATTTTATACAATAAGTGTTGTAATAATAATAATAATATTAATATTAATTAAAAGAATTAATTCTTGAAATTTGTCATTAGTTGGCATAAAATAAATCGTAAAAATTAATAACATTTATCTCTCTCTATCTCTCTCTCTCTCTCTCTCTCTCTCTCCTATGTTATTGTCTCTTAATTTTGTTAATAATAATAATAATAACAAACAACAATTAATTTTTAACATAAATATAATACTGTATATAAGGGAAAGTAAATTTCAATTATTTATTTTTTTATTACTAATATGGTTTAATTAATCGACAATAATTCGGAAACTACTGTATATAAATTAAATTAATATTAATAATATAATATATACAGTATATAATAATAATGCAATAATAATGTAATTGTTGAATATAATAATGATATTAACATAAAAATAATAGATTATTATGAGTGAAAATCAAACAAAATGTTTGCCAATAAAACAAATGAATCATATATTGAAACAAAAAATTATTTCAAAAAAATAATTATTATATTATCTAATAATGAATAATTTAGTAATTCAAGTGATATATAAATATAAAGTGATATATATATATAAAGTTATATATATATTATAAATATATTACTTTATATTTATATATATATCACTTTACTTTATATTTATATATCACTTGAATTACTTGAATATATATATATATATATATATATATATATATAGAGAGAGAGAGAGAGAGAGAGAGAGAGAGAGAAATTAAAATTTTTACAAAAACACTGTTGTTTTTTATTAAACGATATTTACATACATTGAGTACAACTCTATTGACGAGATTAGGAAGCGATCGCCAAAAGGCACGGCTGAAGATGTCGACCGGATTTAAGTTAAAAATCAATACATGAATAATATGGCCGTAAAAATCACGGCCAGAGGTCGATGAAGAAGAATAA